GATTAATTTTGTTAGATAAAACTACTGAAATACAACTGAAGGTAGAAATAAAAAGCATTTAAGTGCTCTACAGCCATGATTTACTCTTCAGAGATGCATTTAACGTTGTCTCCGGCAGAAGAGCTTCATCCATTTTCCAAACATTCATTTGTTTATTTCAAGATTAGTCTCAGTTATAAACAGACATTAAATCACCTCCAGGCCCTAATACATTGTAATGAAGTATTGTAAACCATGTAGTATGTTGGTTTAAACAATGTAATCAGAAAGCAACAAAACCATTTTCTCCTGGTTTTTGCTGGCTCCCTGACTTCTGTCTGTTCAAAGAAAAGTTCTTTTTAGTCTGTAAATGTCAAGGTCACTCAGAGGTCAAGTTTGTGCTTTTGAGCCATGGTTCCTTTCAGGTTATTGGCTTTGTTTTATTACTGAAAGGAACCATCCATTTTGGCATATAGAGCAAAGAAGTCATGTAATCCTATTAAATACAAAACCAACATGTACAAATAATGGTGAAGGTTTGACAATCACACAAAAGCCCCCTTTTTCTGCCCATAGTTAAGCCTGCAGTGAGTAATTAATGGTCCTTCCATAAGCCTGTCTACAGTGGGAAAACTGCCTAACTAGTTTTCAAAACACTTGCTCAAAAACTGGCCAAGAGCCCCTTTTGGGCAAGCTGGCATCCTTCTACTGCGATGCGCAGGAATGGGAGGGGGACAGAAGCGCCTACCTGTCGCTTTCCATCTCAGAGCAGATCATGGCACTGAAGGAGACAGTCACAATCCTAGGCAGAGGATCCTTGGAAACAGAGAGAATTAATTAACAAAGAAGGAGGAAGGCCTCTTTAGAGAGTTAAGGATAAAAGGAGATAAAAGGAGGTACTTTAAGTTATTAGGAAATAAACTTGCTTTGTTGGCAGGAGAGAGAAGTCGAAAGTGGAGGTTACAGCATGCAAGTCGAGATGTAAGTGGATCATTATGTACTGGGAACAAAAACTAAGACATAAAAAATTAACAACAAATAGATCACTAATTTCCCTATGAAGAATGTTTATGCATAGTGCAATGTCAGTAGGAGAAAAAATTAGGAGGATGAAATAAGGTATAATCAGAGTTTAACATGGAGCAAAGAAAGTATGATTTAAATAAAACTGTCCTCAAAGTGGTATCTACATAGAGGTAACTGAGGGAAAATGCTTAGGATTTTCCTGGTCAGTTAGTTAGGACCAGATGTCAACAGTGGACTTGCCACGCTGTCTGTTCTGCTTGTCCCTTCTTTGAGGACAGTCAGCTACAGTATGTAAAAACAGCTGAAGGTCGCAAACACCAGTTTTCATAAACAACACTCATAACACTATTTTCACATCCCTCAGACAAGCAGAGAGGTTATCACAACTTTAAAATCTCTGTCTGCTGGCAAGACAAAACGTTACCATCCTAGAGTGTATGCAAACATAAGGACTGACTGGATCTATTACTAATAAAAAGAGATGAGATGATTGAGAGTATAGATAGCAATTACAGATAAGACGAGAAACTGCATGAAATGTAGGCAGGACTGCAGAAATGAACCCCAAGACATACAATTGAATATAACAAACCTTACAGAAGTGGAAATGGGAAACTGAGAAATCTATATTACCCAGATGGTGAAACAAGATTTACAAAAGGCTGTACAGTAAAAGTTTCTGGCCTATCATATTGCAAGGACAGATAGACAATAAAGATGCTTGGAGTTTAAGAATGGAACAAGTCCAAGATCTTCAGATAGTCTTCTAATAGGAAGGGAGAAACACTGGCATACCACCAGGGAAGGACCTCCACGCAGGACTGCTCCTTAAACACAGACTCAAGAGGTTTTTGGCAGACACTTGAGTGAGAACAGTCTCTAATGGCGCAATCTTAAAACAGGGCTTCTGTAAGAAGTGTCTCTCAAACCTGGGTTTGCTTCTTGAGTTGGGCATAGTTTAAGAAGGCCACAAGTTCATTATGAGTAATTAGAGCTGAATTTATTTTTTTGCCCTCCTTTGTTTGCACAGCATCACTCAAGTAGTGCATGAAAAGTGAAATACACCCACAACTCCTCATCTGGGGATTTCCTCAACTGATAGACAATCAGAGTATAATTAGTTCCTTTGCCCCTGTCTGGGGTGCAGAGGAATTATCAGTGCCTCAATCTTCAGGTATTGCTAGCTGCTAGATTAGTCATGGGACTCAAAAATCCATGGAGCAGTACTTGTTCTCCTAAGGGGGTTTAGAGAATGTGTTGGCATGATAAGAGGACACATAAGCTGTAAAATATATACCCAGAGAAACACAAACGTATGCCTTGTTGTTGTTGTTGTTGGAATTTCTCAATAAAGTTAAATGGATTCTGCAGACCAACACATCAACTAAAGCAAAAGTTGGTTTGAGAAACCTCTTTTCCCTCCCCATATTTCTTCCCATATTTCTTCAAACTTTCTCTAGCAAGCTAGCAATGCTGTAGGTACTGCAGATTTAAAAGATGAGCCTTCTGGTCCCTAGCTTATCCAGTCATTATTGGTAGATTCCAGGGAGCTGTCAGATATGGAAGGACCAGCTCATACTACCCATGGCTGAAAGAAAAATTTGGAGATTTTTTTTAGGAAAATTCCACACTTCATGACCCAGAGGAAGATCTCTTCTTTTGTACCTCTAAGAAAAATGTTGTGCCTAATTTGTACCATTACCTCTATCCTCAGCAGAACAGACCCAAAAGTCTGAAAACTTTAGTCTCACAGACTTAAGCTTGCATCAGGAGATTGTTTTGGAGCTTAAAATTTAATTTTATTTATGGGGGTTCCTTGCAGTTCCCTGTCTCACTGCAGCCATACAGTAACTTCACTGCATTTTCTGCTGTTTTTCAGTGCAGCTCTCACCTCCTCAAGTGTTTTGGGGCCACCAAACAAAAGCTGTGACACAGAAATGCAAAGGAGCTTGTCTTTTGCTGTAAGAGTATTCCCATCACTGTAAAATTGTGAAACAATACAGCTTATTTCTATCTGATGATGTAAAGTGCCCTACATCACTATAAACAGAATATACTGTATATATATTGGATATACAGTATGAGTCTAGCCATGTGAGCATTTTTAAATCTTGACAGCTGTATCCCTACAGTTTAAATGCATATGTAAGAAACATATGTAACATATGTAAGACACAGTGAGGCTTTGAAGTAACTGGTATATATGACTATAAAAGATTTGTATAAAAATTCAGGTTACAGTTCTGAATGGGAAAGTTCAGAGCAGAAGATGTGGATGGCTGTTTTAAACTCCTTCAACAAAACCTACACAGGGTACATTCAACTTTGAATTAAATCAGCAAAATAATTTTCTTCTGTGCTGAGGAATATGAAATAGAAAATAGAAATGGCTGAAAGTAGGGTGATGGGATGACAGGGATAGTTCTGATCAGAGGTGGCTGTCTGTGCTCTTCCACACAATATGCAGTGTGCTATTGCCAATATTGCATCCACTTCCAACAGACAAAATTCTGAAAAAGGAATAAAACTTTAATCTTGATTTCAGTTGCCAGTGCAGACTTAGACACATTGCATGTTGCAAGAGAGAACCACAGGGACTTAATCATATCTGTATTTAGATATTATCCTTCTGTTACAGAAAGTTATTTAGATTAAGTGTAACTTAAAATTAATATGCCAGGCTTCCTTCTACTCTCATCATATGTCTTTTCTATAACCTTTTATATTTAGAATATTTTTGATTGTAATCAGCTTCATTTTTCCTTCTGTACTCAAAAGTAGGATTTCTCTTCTTCAACAAACACATTAATACAGCTCTCTGTAGCAAGCCATCCTAAAGCCTCTTTTTTATATGTCAATTTTACCACATAACAGATTTTTAAAGCTAAGAGAAAACAATTCAGAAAGATTGATGGGGGCATTCAACAAAAGTAGTAGGAGACAGTACCTTAAATCTGTCATTTCACTGGATTTCAAGTTGATGGTACCTCCGTAAAGGCAGTTTTTATTAAATAGTGTAACTGAACTGAATCTTTGTCTGCAAACAGGACTATGTGTTTCTAGAACAGCAGCAGATTTAGAGTAAGGTGTGCTTCTTCATGGAGCAGTTTTCAGCTGTTACCACTGGGAGCGCATACAAAGCCAGTGGGATAAAGCTTCTTGCATGTCAGCCAAAGCTCCAAACATTTCAAATTGGGCATCAGATTTACTTGAACAACACCGGTCAGTCTTCAAGACATAACAAGGTGCAAAGAACCAGGAAAATTTTTTTCATACTTTATCTCTGCAGCTACATTCCTGCATGACACTGGACCACCTCTGTTCCCTACTTTAACCATCTGTAAAATAGAGACAGTATTACTGACCCCTGATTGTATCCCCAACTCAGATCTACAGTCAATGGTTTTAAATTGCAGAATAGCTCAAAACATACCATCAACTTAAAATATGGAAATTATTAAAAAAAAAATTTTCACTCATGTTACTTTTATAAAGACATCCGTTTTATGTTTATGCATTCATAACTTACAAATGCATGTAATATAATTTATGTAATGTGTCTATATTAAACAAATTTGTAAATTTACAAATATGTATGTCAGTGTACTGTATAAAATAAAACATTTCCTCTTTTCTGGCATGTGAAAAAGCCACACAACCTGGAGCATTGCTCACTAGGACAAGATCCTGCAAGATGGCCCATGTCACTGAGTCCTTTGTGCGCACATGTACATGCCCACAGATTATTCCTGACAGAATGATAGTATAAGCAACTCTTCCAAGAGGAATGGGAACTGGCACAAACCAAATGAAGCAAGAATGTCTCTAGCTCCTTTTCCTCTCTGGGGCTCACATACATCTGCAGAACACTAATAATGTTACAGAAAAAAAAAAAAAAGTCTTTAAGTCATCACTATTTCTCACTTGCCTATCTGTAATTTCTTAACAAAAATATTCCTAAACACTTTACATGTTTTAATTTGCTTCAGGGCATCCCTGTGAAGTGGCATTGTCTCTCCCATGCACCCAACTAGAGCGAGATGCAGAAAGGTCAAAGCCATGTTCGACCAGGAGCTGCCAGGAGGATCCCTCAACCAGCAGCACCCAGCTCCACCAGCACTGGGCCAGAGCCCCAAGAGCTTAACAGCTACTGCAGGTTGTGCTAAAGGAGCAGCTCAGTGGATCAGTGACTGATGGGCAGCTCTGAGCTTTGCTAAAACGTTCCTGAGGTTGAAGTTGAGAGAAAACTAGTGCTTGTGGATTTCCAGAGCCGACAACAGTGCAAACAGCTGTGCAAGTTCAATTTTCCTTTTGTTTTTTTGTCTACTACCTGGACCGACCTTCTTAGAGAGCATCTTATCTCCCAGATGAGATAGCAGCCATGGCTCTAAGACAATTAGAGGCAATTTAAAGTGGTGTGGCTGCAAATCCCATTTTTGAGCACACAGTCCTACCTCCGTTTCTGTTGCTTGTCTGGCTGACTCAGTGAAGCTATCTATGGGAAAAATGATAGGGCATTTCTGCCAGCACTGGGAGGTGATCAGACTCACTGGGGAAGCAGTGTCAGTGATAGGAGGCAAACCCATGTAGCTGGAGGCAGTAACTTGCATAAGGGATAGCAGGACCCTAGCCATCACAATTCACTTTTGTTTTAGCCTTCATGGAAAGATTCATAGCATCATTCCGATTAATAAGACCCTTATTAATTAAGGTAAAAGACCCTTAGGATCATTGAGTTCAACCACTAATGTAATACTACCAAATCCACCACTCTCCATTAGCACCACATCTTGCCAATCTTTTAAATCTCTTCAGGGATAATAATTCCACCACTTCCCTGGACAACCTGTTCCAATGCTTGACTACTCTTTCCATAAAAAAATTTTTCTTAGTACCCATTCTAAACCTCTCTTGGTGCAACTTGAGGCCATTTTCTCTCGTTCCATTGCTTGTTAATTGAGTGAAGAGAACAACCCTCACCCTGCTACGGCTTCCTTTGCAGTAGTTGTGGACAGCAGTGAGGTATCCCTTGAAATTTCTCCAGGCTAAACAACCCCTAACACTCCACTCAGTCACTCTTCATAAGACTTGTGCTCCAGACTCTTCACCAGCTCTATTGCCCTTGTCTGGACATGCTCCAGCACCTCAATTTTTTTCTTGTAGTGGGGGGCCCTGTGAGCAGGGCTTTCATCAGCAGTCTGAATGAAAGCAGCATGCTTTCATCCTCTCCCCTCCTTGGCACATTTCCTGCACCATTCCTTATGCTCTGCAATCAGCAAAGCAATCTGGCTGAAAGAAAAAAATAAAATTAAAAAGTCTTACTTCCAGGATTAGTTTTCAAATTGCAGCAGCATGGTCTGAGATCATACTAGGCTGCCAGTGAAATCCGTAACTTTACCTCATATCTGGAATCAGAGCAGCCAGTCCACTGGACTAGGGGCAACCTGGACCAGCAAGGCTGGGATGTTGCTCTTCTGACACAGGCCTGCTCCTCACACGGGTGGTGAAAGTGGAAAAAGGGAAGTACGTGGTAGTTTGCAGTAACTGGGATCCTGATGTATGTCTACTAAAAATTATTCAGCTTCATTTCAACCCTTGGCCATTTTTCCTAACTTGCAAAGGATGCAGTCAGAAGTGACACTGAAAAGAGGGCAAGCTATTTTATCCTGGAAGCTCACCACGTCCTGCGCTTCCTGGTTACAGGACCTAAGAGGGAGAAACCACACCCCAAAGTACATCAAGGCAAGAGCACCAAGGTGAGAGCAGGGGTTGTTAACATTACCCTGAAACAAAGCAGAGATACTGTTTCTTGAACACAGGGACAAACTGGAATTATGCATTTGCTGTTCTCTGAGCAAGCCCATTGCCAATAATAATGTATGCTTTTGTGTGTGTCCAGGTTGTGGGAGGCTGCGGCTACTTCCCTGTTGATGCACAGGGAATGTGATCACAGAAAACACATGTTTGGCTTTTTAAAACTATTGTACCATTGTATAGTGTACTGTAGGACCCCATTGCATCTTATGCTTCTAAAAGGAAAGAGACAAATGACTGACTAAATCCAAGAGATTCACATGATACTAAACTGATTTAGAAGGGAATGAACCAGCAACTTCATGCTGGAAAACCCTCAAATTGAAAAAGAAATCAAGGTCAAACAGTTAACCACGGGGTGGATCAGTAATTATACCAAAACAACAGATACCAAAGGGCAGATTTGTCATCTCTTGAAATTTCCATAACGGTTTTTATTTTTTCTGGAAAATAAGGCCATAATCTCAATTATAAATATAAAGACTACATTATGTCAAATGTCAGGTTCTGAAACTGAACTTGCTTTTAAACCTAAATCCATCATTACACTTTATGGCTCAAAAGCTCCCCCTTGAAACAAATCCGTCATTAGTCTCGTTCATTGAACTCAGATAATTACAGTCTGATTAGTTTTTTTTTTTAGGATAACATCCACAATTCAAAATTCAACCTGGAAATAAGCATCTAAAACCAAGAAACTGGAAGAACATCTGTATTTTGGCTGCTGCGACTTTGAGCAATAAGATACTTGCATAAATGTGATTTTTTTTTTAAGGTTTTCTGAAGTGGTTTTATTTTCATTAGTCCAGTTATTGAACAAAGGTATGTTGCCTCCTACCACAGCCATAGTATGTTTTCTTCAGCATTGTCTTTCTTGGAAAGCCTATAAATTCAAGGCAAAGCCTTTTAATAAAAACTAAGGCGTTTGGAAAATAATGACACAGCAATTCTGTGCCAGAAAGGAACGAACCAGGAGGATGATCAGAGACCTCTGTCACTTCTAAACTTCTGTAATGCCTTCATTTCTGAAAGAGCCCCGCTCTGAAAAAAATTAAAATGCATTAATTGCTAGCAAGACCCTGACAGAGTGATGGCAGTTACCGTAGGACGCTTGTTGCTCTTGTGTTGTTTGTAAGCGGTGGGAGGCTTCGGAAGCAGCTGAGCCGCCCAGCCAACTCCCTGCAGGGCATCCCTTGGTCCTCCCCGCCCCTCGGCCGCTCAGCTCCCCCCTGGGCTGACCTCCCAGGGAGCTCACCAAAATGGCAGGAACTTAGCCCGGAGAAGGAATAGTATGCAGGCTTGGCGAGCTGAACCATCTCGGCGGGCAGGGAAGAGAAGGCAAGGTCTCCCTCTTCTGACAGCAGCAAGCGGGCGGCTGGGCCGGCCAGGACCTCACCACGGTTTGAGGACTCCCTGCTCACCAACCTGCCAGGTATCCCTGCCAAATCCTTGTTGAACAACATCACGAGCCCATAGAATTATTCTGAGGTTGAATACTGTAAATCGCAGTCTGGGTTTTTTTTATTCGAAAGTGGGAAAGTTCATACTCAAATCCTTCAAAGATTAGAAGAAGTATCAGGAAAACTGAGAACACAAATTAAGGTTTTGTGCTTTTGATGGAGACCAACTCATAACTGGCAGGATAAACACAAAGAATGCAGTCTGGTTATAGCCAGCCCACACAATTTTATGGAAATGTTGTCCAGAGCTAAGAGTTTTGTGTAGCTAGACTTGTTATGACAGAGTAAGATGGGTCCAATTTATAGCGCATCAGAAGGCTGCTTGTGCTTCTATTTTGAATTATAGCACAAACCCTTGGGCTTCAGGTAAAGCAAGTAACACCTAGCTGATTCAACAGAGATTTGCTTGTATTGATTAATTGGATGAGTAAAGACGCTGAGACAAACCAAGAAAGACTGTTAAATTCCATTGCTTATATTCAGAGGTCATTTTGGAAATCACAAGTAATATGGGCTATTCTGGGTTTCAGACTAGACACAAAAAACAAACAGAGGCAAAGCACATGTTGAGTTGTGGTTTTAATTCTATTTTCATCATAGTTTATATGACTTGGGACTCCAGCAAGCAAGCAAGCCAACCATTGAATCCAAAACTCAGCATAGATTTTGAAAAGCTCAGCACAGAGAACTTACAATACCTGAAAGATATTTTTCAGCTACATAAAAATAAAATTAGAAAATTAGTAGCTGGTTAGGAAAAAAACAAGCCTTTCCCACATTTGCGTATAGTTCAAAGAAATTTAATAGCCAAGGGGTGATATCATACTTTTTCACTCTTGCTCTAATCTACACTGTAAATCAAAACAATCTCATAAAAGGTTAAATTATTAAGGACAGTGGGCCGATGGAAGTGTCATGCAACCAGGAAACCAGGATGACCATAAAAAGAAAATGAGGCTGCTGGTAACCATTATAATGTAAGGCTGAATCACAAATGCTAACACCAAAGACCTTTTTCTCTTCCAGTTATAACCCTTGAGAGTTTGTCTGTTGGGTTTTTTTCCCCCCTCTTTGAAGGCAGAAGTAGGCCTATAACTATCCTCGTTTCAATTTCTCCCTTCCCAGCTACGGTTTCTTACAGTCTGTCATTGTCCGTGAGCTTAAACAGAACACTGCATAAGCTGTATGCATCACATATCTGTCCCCAAGATGTAAAATCCTTCCCTTCGAGGGAACATTTTGGTGCAATCTAATGCAAATGTTGAGCCCAAGGGAAGAAGGACCGATGAGGTATTTCACAAAAATGTTCCTGTAGACTTAAAAAAAAAATCATTTACGACTACCAGTGGCAAAGATCAGTGACCACGGGAGCAAGTTACTACATTGCTCGCTGTATTATTAGAGAATTAACTTCTGAATTAACCCAAAGCGGAGGAGCCGCCCCGGAGCCGGAGGGCAGGCGCAGCAGCCCTTCCCGGCTCAGGGCAGGAGAGCTCCCGGGTGAGGGAGAGCGCTCCTTTACCGCGGCCGCTTTCCCCCTCCGGCGCCCCGGGGCTGGGGGAGGCCGGGCCACAGCG